GACTCATCCACCACCACTCTGTGGGTGCAGCCCTCCAGCCAGTTAGTGACCCATTTGACTATGTAGGTGTCAACACCACAGTCCCCCAGTTTTTTTTAATGAAAATGGGGTGAGAGACAGTATTGAAGGCCTTCCTAAAGTCCCAAAAGACTACGTCCACTGCTACCCCTGCATCTAAGGATTTGGTGACCTGGTCAAAGAAGGCCACCAGGTTGATCTGACAGGACCTGCCTCTAATGAACCCGTGTTGGTTGCTCCTAAGCATAACCTGGCCCCTTGTGGACATATGCTAGGATAATTCTCTCAAAAAGCTTACCCAGGATCGAGGTAAGACTAACTGGCCTATAGTTTCCCAGGTCCTCCTTCCTCCCTTTTTTGAAGATGGGAACCACATTCACCCTCTTGAAATATGTGAAATACACCAATGTAGGACAGATAACAAATGATAACAAACGAGACTCCCGAAATATCAGTAATACATTTTAAAAACTTAATTTTCTTTTATTACTAAAATCATGAATTTCTGTTCCAATATAGCCAGCCCAAGGAAACTGGGCATAAAAAGAGATTTCTAGGATATTTTTTTAGTTTTAAATCTACTCAAAAGTGTTGGAAAACTTTGGAAATGTTATAGTTCCAGGTAATATGAGTACTCCACTATGAACACAATGGTATAATAATACCCACAAAATATACTATAACAAAATCCAGGCACCTAACTCACCTGGTTGGGAGAGAAAAATCAGAATCTTTGTATTTCCCCAACACAGAGGAAAATAGCTATGCTGCTCAACTATTTTTTCCCCTTTCTTTGCACATGCTTTAAAATACTGTCCTGCTCACAATGCAGTGGATTGGGTTGCTCAGCTGGGCAGTCTGGATGGTTGATAGGACAGGGGAGTCAGATTAATTCTCTTTCTTTGTCTAGGAGAGAAAGTTTTTCAACTATTTTGGCTTCTGTATACCACTTGCACTTTGTGCTTTGCCTCTATGTTGATATAATTTTAACATGCCCTATTTATGTTATTTTAGTTAGTTTTCATGTAAGCTATAATTTCATGAGAAGTTTTAGGATATCATTTTCTATCACTTTAGATTTCCTAGTGAGTCTTGGTTGTCTGGTTTTCTCATCACACTTGAGAAGCTTGGTTTTAACTAATACTTAAGCGGGGATTCTGGTAACCTTATTAGCAGGTGTCTAGTGAAGACATGTTAAAATGCAGAGGGACAATACATATCCCGCATATGAAGAGAGAGAAAAGATATTACCTGCTTTTGTCATGCAATATATTAGACAAAAGATGTGTACAAAATGGAATGAGTGAAATAAAAAAGAGGAAAATAGCTGTTTTCTTTGATTTTTTTAAATACAATCATTTTAGCTGTAGAAGTAGGTATAAGATTCAGATGCGACTGGGATGTAAATTGAGCACATCCTTTTAAAGGGTAATTCATATTCTATGAAGTGACTTTAGAGGATCAGCTTTGGGGAATTCCACAATTGTGTTGTCTCCAGATAGATACGCAAACTCAACATAGCAATCACTTTTTTTAGTTATAAACACAAGAACAAAGGTATATTTCTAAATACCAGTCCTGTAAACTCAGCATGGGATTGGCAAGAGAAACTCACCCCATTATTATTGGATCAGGCATTGTCACCAGAAATAAATATCGAAATAGCGTCTCCTGTTTCATCTTTGCAAATCCAGGACTCTATGTAAAGATGTACAGATGCCATAGGTTGCTTAGTTTAAGATGGGGCTGCGCAGATGGCACTACAACTGGAAACTACTCAATATTCTTGATGTCTGAGCCAGAACAAGTTTGCTAATTTATTCCTGCAGAATTTAACAGAAATGCAAAAGAACAACTCTTCATTCATATTAACAGATTCAGCAGCACCTTGCTTAACTGTTCTGTTAAGCAAGACAGCACCATTTTCAGCCAACCACTTTTCAGACAGATCACATTTTAAAAGTAGCGTACTCACGGTTGTATCCAGCATACCTATTATGGAGCTTTAAGGAAAAGCTGTGTTCAAAACCCTCAGCCAGATTGTTTGCATCTGACAACTGAAAGATGTAGCATGTACTCTCACTTTACTCACAATGGCCTAGATCAGGGGTGTCCAACCTTTTTGACTATGGGGCTGGATCATGAACTTTTTATCACCCAGTAGGCCGGCGAGCCATATTCAAAGACCTTACAGGAAGCGGTATCACATCACCCCCCTGAAACTAAAGTACAGTGTTTATTTTCATTTCCTGTCGCAGCATCTTGGGTCTCAGAAAACAACTTGGAGGGCCGCATGGTGGCCCGCCATATGTTGGACAAGCCTGGCCTAGAATCTATCCTAAACTGAATAAAGCTCCAGCTCTCAGGTTTCTGGTACCACTTGAGTCTCTATTTAAGTTTAAGTAGAATTACCAACTTAGGCCTGTAAAATTGCTGCAACTAAGAAGCATGTACTGTCCAGCCTCTTAAACGCCTTGTATGCCAGAAAGGAGGGGAGGTACAAGATATTTTTCACTTAGGTCATTTCTACTAGAGATATACATCTTAGCAGCTCAAATGAACTTAATACAGCTTGTAAATCTGACCCTTCTCTTATGAGCAGGTTGTTCAGAAGTAAACAAAGTTTAACCTAAGTCAAGGAATTAACCTTATTTGATCTCTGAAGTGGACATCTGTTAGGCTCTAAGCCCATTACATCAGCTTGTTACAAAAGAAGAAAGATTTCAGGGATTCTGAACTCATGCAGAACCTGGTCCCCTCTTTAACTGAACTTTTGTTATGAGTTTAATATTGGCACTATGTTTACCATGAGAATCTCAGTATTTATACAAAGTAAATATGAAATGTGTTCAGTTTTTTTAACCGTGCTAGAATTAATAATCTTGTTTCATAGTGACACCTCACCTCTAGCTTGTTAATGTTGCCTTCTGCATATGAACTGAGTCAGCAAATATGGCACAATGAAATATTTTACAGTACATTTATGCTGTATACAAAGTAATTTTGAATATTACATACTATAGCAAACGACTAGCCAAGGCTTGAACCCAAGTTTGGAAACAACTTAATAGTTCGAATTTCCAGTCATCTTAATCCAGCAATATGAGCTTAAATGTGGTTCACTTCCAGCACAGTGAAGTAGCTTTTGTATTTTTATTATAAAAAGAAGTAACAGACAACTTGTTAGGATATAACAAAAAATTAGGTTAAACTATCTGTTGGCTGACCAGTTCAAATAAAGGAACGTTCTATAGGTAATGTCCAGCTCAAAACGGACAAACTGCTTCAAACTGTTCTGAACATTCCTAATGCACCCAAATCTGAAGAGCAAGATTTTGTACAGGACAAAAATAAATCTATATACTCACAACTTGCTTTTTGCAACAATCTGGTTTATTGCAACAGATGAACTTTATTCCATCTGCAATGATATCATTATGCTCACTGGATGCTCCATCTACAATTGCTGTCTGGGGTTTGTCTTAGCAAAAGGGGTTCTGAGTTCCTGAGTACGTCTCACCAGTTATGGTAACATTAATAAAAATACAGGACACCTCTTGTAAGAGTAATAGTGGTAGCCTATATAACCAAGTATTCTGTAATATTCTTTATAATAAAATGCCTTTTTTGCTCCAATAGCAACAGTGGCCCCTTCAACTAAAATGTTTGTCTGTTTTGTAAAGTAATTGATTCCATAACCCACCTATAACTGCTTTTTCCCCCCCTATCATGTTTTCCTAAAGAGAGTGCTTATAACTTCTGGGTGACCATGGCTTATGAATAAAAAGGAAAAATGGCCACAAATAATAAGAGACCAAGCAAGAAGTTTCATGGCTACTGTAACACTGGACAGTCTAACTTGTGACACAGCATTATTGTATAACCTAAGTGAAGCTAGGTGCACACAATTTGATTCCTTGGATCTCCCACAACTATTAAAAGTCTTAAAAAATGGCATTAATAACAGTTGCCTTCTTGGTCCTGTAGTAACTGAACTGAGTTGCATACATCTGTATCAAAATAAGTGGCCTAAAATATATACTTAAACAATATCTATATCATTTTATATGACCAGCTGTTTTTAAACATGACAATAATGATGGGAATTTAAAACAAATATTTCATCATTTGTTGTTGGTGCAGGAATTCAAAAAGATTCTGAAATAAGTGTTATAGATTTGGGCTGTCCAACTTCTAAACTCCCAAGGGCCACATGCTGCATGCGCCACAGATGGCACTCTATGGATCCCCCCAAAAACACCACACCATATGGGTGCATGAGCATGACCTTTCCTTTCTGCAATGTGCACCTGCATAGGCACAACCCTCACTGCTGTACCATGTGGCATGACCATTAGCCACCCCTGCAAGGCCAAATTTCTCCCCTCCTTCACATACATGGCCCCAGACTCACCACCAGCTCTCTCCACTAATGCACTACTTTGTTCCACCCCTAGGGCAAAGGGAACAATGTGGCATCCAGAGAAGGGAATGACAAACCTGGAAACTCTGGTTGCTATTGCTGCCAGAACAATGGGGAGGAACGGCAATTAGTTGAGAGTTCAGGGGCTATACATTAACCCCTTACGGGCTGAATACAGCCTATGGGCTACCACTCAGGACAGCCCTGTTTTAGATTAAGTCTGCACTTGACTTATGTGCTTTAACCAAATATATGTAGACAAAAGCATTACCAGCATTTTTTTACAGCTAAACAATTAGTTTAATTCAATATTGTCCATCAATTAAGCATAAAAATGATACCTACCTATTCCAGTAGCTCCAGAATTGGTCCTGAAGGTATGACTGGTGGCTGCTTTCATCACCAAATGAAGCTTTGCTTTCAATCCAGTGAATTATGTGGCCTTCAACAGCTAGGGCAACAAAGTATTACTAACATAGTATGGATGCAAGTTCTGAAAATGAATTCAACATCTTTAAGATTTTACTGAATACCCAGTTCACACAAGGAGCTACCCTATGACATACACTTGAAACCTTATCATATATGTATAAAACCATGATTCAAACATATGAAAAGAATATTTTTTCTAAATAAAATTAAGAACTGCATACACTATTTATCAATAATTATCTTCATTTAAGATTACATTGCCCTCTCTTAGTCCTCTGAATGCACTTACTCTAATACAAATGGCCTTTTGGAGCGTATATTTTTTGCTGTTACTATAGGTTAAGATGCCTCTTCATGTCTTCCAGGAATCATTTTCCAACCTGTGAGATTATGACCAAGAAAAGTCATCTCCTGAATACAGAAGTTTTACTTCCAAGGTTGCAAAGGAATGCTCACTCAGATAACCTGAGACAATTCCAAGCAAGCTTCTGAAGATGTTTTCCATCTTTAGGATTTTCTGTTGCACCTACCATCTATTATTGCAAAGTTTGGCTTAGCTGAATAACAAAATGTTAAGTCTGGCATAGAGTGATATGTTAACAAAAACATGAGACTGGAGCTTATGTAGATTGATAGTAGCATAACCCAATGCAACACAGAGTTCAGCATGGGTTATAAAACACTTGGATTATGGGTAAGCAGGTGACTAACTCACAGTAAACACTGGCCAGCAGCAATTACACTACTATCAATGGCCAGGCTAGTTAGTTTAAAAGCAACTTAAATAGGTCTACATGAACTGTAGATCACAGCTTTTATCTGTAGTACAGGCCTATGCTCAGAAGCTTGTGTAGCAGAGCCAGATACCTGTTCTATTCTAAATCAGTTGTTGCTTTTCATAAATGTTTGCCTTTTCTTAACCAAGTGGCAAGCCTGGATGTCAAGAATGCATGAGCTGCTAGAGCCAAGGCTAAATTTGATAGGATTGCTAGACAAAGATGAAACGAAAGGTATTTTACATAGCTATCTGAATACCAGAAGCTGTTACAAGTCTAAGTAAAAACAAATTAATAGACTTGCCAAATTGGCAAGTTATTATAGGTGCTTCCCCCTCCCAGCATACATCACTGCAACACTTTCAAGATTTTAAGTTCAATCAGTTGTTCATTCTTGCTTCATGTTAGCCAGGTCCCTGGATAGAAGGAAGATGGTCTTGCTTGTATATGATGTAAAAGTGATTTATAGCTTGATACTATCTGCTCTACTGCTATATTTTCAGTCCGTGGTGTCTCACAATCTTCCCTAACAGTTTTAGCAAGGTCTCACTGATGGGCATGGCCTCAATAGACTGAGGTAATTTCAGTATGATCTTGTCAAGTCTCTGAGGTGGAACAGCAGGCTACCATACTTGAATATATAAAATACTATGGATCAGTCCAGTTGTGTGAGTATGGACTGCACTTGGCCACATATTATCATCAGCACCACCTCTGTTCCTGAAAACCTATGGGGAAAAGTCTAAAATTATTATTTAGGTAGAGCTGCAGGTGGCACTTTAAAGCTTCCCAAGGGTCTTTGATAAAGGTTGGTTACATATTAGGTAATAACTTGAACTGAATTGAAGTTCAAGTTGTGTTGAATGAATTGTGTCTTAAGTACTGACTGGGTAATAGCATGCTTCAGAATGTGCAGCAGAATTCTTGCAGGAAAGCATGATGTTGATGATATTACTAGCAAGGGCTCCAAATGTCAACACCACCAGAGGACAAAAGCCAGAATCACAAATAATTAGCTCTCAAAACAGTATTTCCAGGACTTTTTGATTTTGTCTGTAAAATATACTGAAAGATCTCTACACATAAGTGTGCTAGGATCTGAAGATAAATGGAAGAACAGTGCACAGATGACAGTGCGATTCAGCAATTGTTACAGTAGAAGAAAAGAAGTTTCTTGCTTCTTCAATGGCATGGCCATTACACTGAGAATTCCTTGTGGCTGCTTACCCGTTATTTACCTGGTTTCTATCACCACTAGTACTGAAATGTCAGTGCTCAGCTGCATCTGGCAATTTTCTACCATGGACACTAAGGCTACTTACAGATGTGGAACACCATCCCTGCCAAAGCAACCAACCAAACAAAAAACTAGCACTTGGCTTTCAGCTTGGCACACCCCTACACCAAACGCAGTGTGTGCCCCGAACAGACATCGTGCCAGTTTGACCCAGCTCCCCAGCATCTGTATAGCTTGCGCACTTTAGCGGATGTTTTTGGAGCTTTTATCAAATAGCTTATTTGCTATATAGACACTGGGCAAGCCAGGTCAAACTGTTGCAATGCTTATCCTGGTAAAGCGCTGGGTTTTTTTCCCCACCCACATCTGCCAGCACCCTAAGTTCTTTTTCTTACTGCTGTTTCTTTCATTGGTACTTAATGACCCATGAAGAAAACTGGGGGAGATGAGGAGGATGTGGAGGAAGATTCTAGAATGAGGCCACGGAGTGGATCTTCTATGCCACCAACTTCTGTTGTGGGGGCATTATCTATAACAGTGTTTTGAAACTTGACTGAATCTACCAGTTTCTGTAGGCAGACTATAATGCATATTTCTGAAACAAACATGGAGGAGATGATGACCAATCCAGGATTGTGGTTTTATGTTAAAAAGCTATGTAACCCTGCCCAAGCCAAGCACACTAACATCTTCTTACAACTTGAGTCACTACTACATATTATGTTTTATACTATATAACATGAGAAACTAGACTGTATCATTAAGTAACTTCAACATTTTTATATAAACACATCCCTATAAACATGAAATATTAACATTAAGACACCTTTCAAGGACTTACCTACTGGCACTTCCAAAATAAAGTCTGGTGTTTTGTCATAACCCTTTGCACGAAGCTGATCTTCAGCTACACATAGAGAAAGAATACTATTGTTTATAACACTATTCTATTAACCAGACAGCAGTATAATTAATTTTCTTTTAAATAAGAGTGCAAGAATTACTAATGCAGTCATACATATCTTTCTTATGCATGCAATGCTGTGTCAGATTAAATGAACCTTCATAGCAAACCTGAAGCATGGATATAAAAATGCTTCTTTGTCGTCTCTGCATTTTTATGTCTTCATTATAAACATCATTAATTCAAGCTGTCATACACTATTTTATAACTGAAAAATATTCAAAATAAAGAAATACATTTGCTGATTGAAAGAAGAATCTCACATTAAATAAACCTTAACAGCTTTTTTCTATTGCTGGAAACATAGATATTCTATAGTTGCTTTCTTATTTTATATTAATGTGTGCCTAAAGTTATTATAAAATATCTTCCAGTTGAAAAGCTATTAAAGAAAGAGACAAGTCACAGATTTTAATTTCTCTTGCATGTTGCATAATGCAGAATTTGCCAAGTTTCACAATTCAGTACATAAATTTAAAAATAGATTGTCTTCAGGTTTTAAGTGCAAGTATAATGCTTTATCCTGTGTAGATATCAAAGCTCTTTAAGCAATACCCGAAGATTTCCAATACCAAGTCTGAGAGCAAAAAAGACAAAATTGTGGAAAAATCAACAAAAATGCTTGACTAAAGAAAAGCCTTCAGTATTTTCTAAATGTTGTCCTTGAGTTCCAATGCCATTACATTGGTATTTCTAAAATACCTCTTCTCCATTATATTTTGGAGTGACCAGGTCATTCAATTCCAAACACGACTTTCTGTCTTCACCCAACCTCAACTAACGGCACAACCAACTAACAAGAAGGCGCTGTGGTCTCTTAACATCTACTGGGCTGTTGACATTGTCATGCATCCCTTTCCCCTTTCTGCATCACCTTTGATTAAAATTAATGGTCCATTCCCACTGTTGGGTAGCTTATTTCCAATCCATTTATCAGCCTAAGACAGTGGTTTCATGGCCAATGTTCAGAACTCTGTTTTAGAACACTTTGTGCATATCCTGAAAGGTCATAATTTTGAGTTTAAATAGCATTTTAATGACAGATTTTAAGGATTTAAATTTAGATTTTAAGCATGTTTTTTATTTTTGTATATATTAAATAAATTAAATGCTTAATTCAGATCAATTTATTTCCACACACACAAAAAATAAGTCTGAGATAAATTTTTCAGATGCTGATCTTGCACTTACAGTAAAACTTCATTAATTTGCTTTAATAACTATGGAATGTTGCATATTAGTAGAAAAGTGAATATTCAACAGAAAAAGAAGAGGCAAGTTTTTGTCATTTATCCTGTTTACAACTGCAGTTTATTTTTAATTGTTTAGAATATTACTTCATAATGTGCCAATATATTTTAAACTGCAGTATGCTTTAAATATTAGTCTTTGTAGTAATGGAACTTCCCTATAGCACTATGTCAGTTATTGACCCCTGTTAAGAGTTGGAGAGTAGTAGCTTTTTTTAACCCATATTATACAAGATATGGGTGAAAAGCGTCCAGATTAAGATGGCACTATTTTATTGTGATTCCTTAAAATATCATTTTGACCCATAAGTACTGAAGATACATTAATATTGTGAACTTCAGCCTAACAGTTATGAAGGCAGGCTGGCCTGAGGATGTAGAAAAGGAAATGCTCTCATAACCACCCCCTCAGGTTTGCAGAGCTAAAAGCTACTGGTAGCCATTTGAAATCCTCAATAGCAATCCTGAATAGTTTGGGCAGTGGGTATTCATTGGTTAAGGGCTTTTAATAAAATTGTGGCCTCCACATTTAATCATGCATGCAGTCTCATTCTTACTGAGAAAAATCAAAATCAGATGCTTAAACAAAAAACAACTTTTCTTTTGTGCCCCCTGTTTCAGGTCAGTCCCAGAAGGGAAGGATGCATCAAGGAAGTGAACCAGCAATCCCGATGCTGGTGTCACCAAGAAGGCTTCTGATTCCTTGACCATGGCATGCACTTCAGGGAAAGAGAACTCCTGGGAAGGAGTTCCACCTCACAAGGAAGGTAAGTCCCTGTTTGTGGCCAGGCTGGCCAATTTTCTGGACAGGGCTTTCAACTAAGATTGCTGTGGGACGGGGATACACAAATTCAAACACGTTCAGGGACCAACATATAAGTAAGCCCTGTAGATAGGGACCCTGGGAGAGCCACTTCTGTGGGAGTGGAGGGAATAGTTCTCCATCATTGAGACAGGAAGACGAGGGCTTCAGTAGGAGGACTCAGCTGCCTATATACTAACACCAGGAGCATGGGGAACAAGCAGGAGGAGCTAGCCATCCTACTCTCCAGTATGCATTATGATCTAGTAGGGATTATGGAGACCTGGTGGGACACCTCACACAATTGGAGTGTAGCTATAGAGGGCTACACCCTGCATAGAAGGGACCAGGTGGGAGAGAAAGGTGGAGGCACTGCTGTCTATGTGAAAGAGCAGTACACCTCCTTGGAGGCTGACATCAGCTCCAAAAATGGACAGCTTGAAACCCTCTGGGTCAAGTTGCGTGGAGGGGAGGGGGCAAGAGAGACCCAACTGTAGGTGTATACTACAGACCACCGAACCAGGGGGAGGAACTCGATCTGGAGTTCACCCCAGAATTGACTGAGGCTGTCACGGGTGATTTTAATTATCCAGACATCTCCTGGGAGGAACTCTTGGCCAAGTTGGATCGGTCGTGATCCTTCCTGACCTGTGTCAAGGAGCTCTTCCTGACTCAGGAGGTGCATGGGCCAACCAGAGGTGACGCTCTGCTAGACATGGTCCTTGCCAAAGTGGATGACCTGGTGACTGACTTAAATATAGAGGGAAGTCTGGGCAACAGCAACCATGAAGCCATCATGTTCACTGTCCAGCATAACACAGACAAATTGGATAGCAGGATTGAAGTCTTGGACTTCAAAAATGCAAATTTCAACAAGCTTAGGTCATTAGTAGGGCAAGTGCCGCGGGACTAGGGACTGAAGACAAAAGGTATGCATGAAGAGCGGTTGTTTCTTAAGGACACAATCTTTGAAGCACAAAGGAAGTTCATTTCAATGAGGAGTAAAGGTAACAGAAGTGCTGGGAAGCCCTCTTGGCTAAAACGGGAAATCACGGCCCTCTTAAGAAAGAAGAAAGAGGCCCACATTTGAAGGGAACAGGTAAGACAGGCTAAAGCAGCGACTGAACTAAGATTAGTAACAGGAATCGAGGACAACAAGAAGTCCTTCTTTAGGTACATAGGGAACAGGAGGAAAACAAATAGGAATGTGGGACCATTGCCCAGCAACTCAGGAAAGCTGGTTACTGGCATCCAGGAGAAAGCTGAACTCTTGACTGACTACTTGGTCTCAGTCTTTCACTGGACCAAGGGGAAAACTATGTCAGGTAGAGTCAAGGATAAGCATGGTAGGAATAATCACCTTCCTACTATTGCTGTAGAATTGGTGTATGACCAATTAATAAAATTAGACATACACAAGTCAGCGGGACTGGATGATTTCCATCCAAGAGTGCTGAACGAGCTGGCCAAAGTCATTGCAGAACCCCTGGCAAAACTCTTCCACAACTCGTGGCACTCTGGAGAAGTCCCTGAGGACTGGAACAAGAGCAGTGTTGCGCCCATCCACAAGAAGGGCAGGAGGGAGGACCCGGTAACTATAGGTCAATCAGCCTAACTTCCATCGTAGGAAAAATCCTAGAAAATTAATTAAGGAGTCTATCTGAAATAAACTTGCAGAAGATAAGATTCTGAATGACAGCCAGCATAGCTTTGTCACAGGCAGGTCTTGCCTTACCAACCTCATCTCTTTCTATGACCAGGTAACTCACCACCAGGACACGAGAGAGTAGGTTGACATTGTATACCTAGACTTTCAAAAGGCCTTTGATTTAGTATCCCACGATGTCCTTGCGAGAAAATTGGATGATTGTGGGCTTAACTCCAAGACAATCAGGTGGGTGAGAAACCGGCTACAGGATACAACCCAGAGAGTCATAATGACCAGATCTGTGTCATCCTGGAAAGAAGTGGACAGCAGGTGCCCTGGCGAGAAGTGCGTGGGCAGGGGTTGATGCTCGGTCCACTACTTTTCAATACCTTCATTAATGATTTGGTTGTTGGGGTGGCAAAGTTCACGGATGACACCAAGTTATGGGGAAGCATGGTCATACTTGAAGATAGGTTATGGTTACAGGCAGACCTAGACAGGCCGGCAAGTTGGGTGGATCAGAATCTGATGAAGTTCAATGTCGAGAACTGTAAAGTGCTCCACCTCAGGATGAGCAACACCCCAACACACCTACAGGCTTGGTGGCACCAAACTGACTAGCACCATGAATGAAAGGGGCCTGGGGGTAATATTAGAGCACAGTATGAATATGAGCTGGCAGTGCGATGCTATAGCCAGTAGGGCAAATAATACTCTTGCATGCATCAATCGATGCATCTCCAGCAAAACCAAGGAGGTGATTCTTCTGCTCTACTGAGCACTGGTGAGACCGCAGCTGGAGTACTGTGTCTAGTTCTGGGCACCACACTTTAACAAGGATGTGGACAAGCTTGAGAAAGTCCAAATAAGAGCCACCCATATGATAAGAGTCTTGAAAGACAAGCCATAGGAGGAAAGGCTGAGGGATCTGGGATTCTTCAGTCTGAGGAAAAGAAGGCTGAGAGAGGACCTGGTAACAGCTGACCACTACACAAGGGGAGTACATCAAGGACTTGGTGAGCAATTGTTCACCAGGGCACCTGAGGGGAAAAACAGTAGTAATGGGCACAAACTCCTGGAAGATCAATTCAGGCTCAATATTAGCAAAAACTTCTTCACAGTCAGGGCGTACAGACCATGGAATAAGCTCCCTCCAGAGATGGTGCAATCACCTACCCTGGAAATCTTCAAGAGGAGACTAGACAGTCACTTTGCTGGGATCACCTGATCCCCAGCTATCTTT